CCTTGAGTTCATGAACCGTCCCTCCCCCCCAAAACAAACCCCAAACCTGCTTCTTGGCACGCTCCCTGGGGGCCTGGGCCAACCTCCCACATCCGTGCATTTAGACAAGCCAGACAAGAGGTAGTTTCCATTGGCTAATGATTTTCTTTACTACATGATTTCTAGGTATGGTTCAATTAAATGCTTTCTGATTTCTGGTGATCTGTCTGCACTGGGTGGAGGCTGGAGCTAAGAACCAATCTTTCTTTCTAACATTGAACCTGCTGTAGCATGAGGTGCCATTCCCCCCACCCCTCCTGGTGCCCAGGGTGGAGGAGGAAACCTACTTTCACATGGTGGCCTGAGGTTTGCAGGGCTTTGCCTCCAAATTCCTATCCCCCTTTAGGGACCAGGGCAGGTTCCACCTTTTCCCTGAAACCTTCCCTGTTCCCCGCCTCTCCCCCCCAACTCTTTTCCTCCACGAATCACCTTGTGTTACATGTGTCTGTTCTGTAACCCCCTCTAACCCTCCCCCACATAGGCTTCTTGGGAGCAGAGACCACTGTCTTTTCATCCTCGGTGATTAGCAGCGTCTTGCACGCTGGGGGGTGCTTAAAAGGTGTTTATTGCATTGCAGGGAGTGTTTGTGGAATGGAATCCATATTTTTTTCTGTACAGAGCTGCGTCAGAAAATGTGTGTGGGCCGCCTGTATTTGGTATTGATAGTGATGACAAAGTGGAGTCGGCCAGCTAGTCAGAGCGATGGATTTTTTAAATAGCATTGATGCCAGAGCAGCCCAGACCCCAGTGCCGTGAGCTCTGTTAGCACCGAAGTGTTCCTAGAGGCTTCGGGGGATCTGCGAGCTCTCAGCATGACTTTGTGCGAGTCATTGAGGAGTTCCAGACTGGGAGTGTGCTGGCGTTTAGCCAAGGGCAGATCTGAGTTAAGGTGCATCTCCCTGCCGTCCGCAGGCTTCCATCACTGATGGGGGTACTCAGTGAAAGAGCTTCATGAAAAAAATCCACTTTCACTGCCCCAGGTGGGCTGCAGCTTGGATCAGTCAGTGTGGGTTCTGTAGAGGAGCCCTTGTCTTCCAGATAAGGGCTGCAAGGGGAGGAGAAGGTGGCCCCCGGGGCTGAGCCCTGGATGGATTTAAGGAGGCTTTGGGAAGAGAGGAGAGAGGCCGGGGGTGCTGTGAGTCACCCGGGCCCCCTGGGCCTTGGAAGCTTGAGGAGAGAGGCAGGACAGAGCTGGCCAGAGACCCAAGAGGGGTTGTGGGGCAGGGCTGGCCACAGCCTGTCTGTGGGGGAAGGAGCGAGTTCTTCCAGAAGCCTTGGCCTGTCCCGGCTGGCCCTGCTCACTGAATCCCCTCTGCCTCTGGTGCCTCTGGGTGCGGGGAATCTGTGCTTGAGGCTTTGCCTGGGCTGACCTCATTTGGTCGTCAAAACCACTTGTGAGGTCTGTGCTGTTGTTTCACACACTTTGTGGAGAAGGACACTGAGGTTGAGCAAGGTTATGGGACCTGGTCACGGGCACAAAGTACTTATGTGAGGCAAGATTCAAACCTGTGTCTCCCTGCTGCTGCCACGTGCCGACAGGAAAGAGTATGAGTGGTCTTTGGCGGTCCCTGCGTGGCCCGCTATTTCACGGGGACCCTTAGCTTTGAACGCTTTATCAGAGGCACTGCAGCCCGGCCAACGGGCAGAGGACAGAGGTCAGAACAGGGCCGGCCCTGCGGCTTTACCCACTCTTTACTTCCCTCTCCAGAATCTCCCTCGGATACCTGTCGTTACTTGTGTTGGGCTGGCATCCCCACTGTCAGTCTGTCAGTAAACATTTCTTAGGTGCCTGCTGTCGTCAGCCACCGGGCTTTGTGCTGAGCAAGGTGCCGGGCCCTGGAGGCCTGGGACTGTGCTCGCTCTCTCCCCAGCCAGTCCTCAGAGGGCCTTCAGGCTGTGTGGACGCGGCACGCCGGCTGTGCTGGACTCTGGTTTTAGTCACTTTGTTTACTGTTTCCCAGTGACACTTTAACCTGGCTCTGGCCCGCTGGGGAAGATTGAGGGCCACCCATTTTACAGGTGAGGAAGCTGAGGATGTGATTGGAGGCTGCAGAAGTTAGCAATATGTGAGTTCAAATGTGGCCTTGGACGCTTCCTCTCCGTGTGATTCTGGGCAAGTCCTTTCACCTCTGCTTGCCTCAGTTTCCTCAGCCATGAAATAGGGATGGTAACAGTGCCTGCCTCTCGGGGCTGTTGTAAGAATCAGAGAGATCATAGTTGTGAAGTGCTTAGCCCAGTGCCTGGCACACAGTAGGTACTCTGCAAACGTGAGCTGCTATTATCAGGTGACCTCTGAAGGCCTGGCAGGACCATGATGAATAAGGGGGCTAAGGAAGACTTTTCACTTAGGTTTTTTATGCGTAAGTTGAGGGGGTTTTGGGGGGGGGAGGGGTGGCCAGCCTCCTAGGATCATAGGTTTTGATTGGGGGCAGCTGGGGGAGCATGGGCCAGGTGGCCTCATTTCCAAAAATGTTTAAAGGGCTAAGTTTATCAATATTAGTCATCGCACAATGTGGCTGTTACTGTGTACAGCGTTCTCCTGGTTCTGCTCACTTCACTCTGCATCAGACCATACAAGTCTTTCCAGGTTTTTCTGAAGTCGGCCTGCTCAGGTGCCCTCATTTTTACACGGTCCAGATTGGTGCAAGGAATTGTCCAAAGGTGGGGGGGAAGTGGCAGAGACAGAGTTTGGACATGGGTTCTTTCAATGACCCCTAGGGCCGTCGTGTTGAGGGCCCAAGGTCATCGTGGCCGTACTGGTCATGCTGGGGTGTGGGCCTCCAGCCCCAAGGGAGACTGGGAACATTTACCAAGCACCTCCTGGGTGCAGAGATAGCATGTAGACAGACCACAGTGCAGGGCTGGTCCCTCAGCTGCATGCTGAAGGCCGTCCAGCTTGCCTCTAGGAGCCGTGGCGGGGCTTTGAGCATCGGGTCCTCCTGGACTCCTCCCTCTTCCTCCCTGCCAGAGCCAGTCCGTCATTTGCCCCCTCTACACCGGCCTGCCAGAGGGTGGCTCTGACCACGGCAGTCCCTGCTCGGTCAACACCAGGGGCTCCTTCCAAAACGCCTCTAGGTGGCCCCTCGGGCCCCTTCCTGCCTTCACTGCAGCCCTGCCACGTGGCCTGCTGTACCCCATGGCCTGTTTCCATGCTGGGCCCTCTGGGGGCACCCCATCCTCAGCTCTGCACCTTCCTTTATACTCCTCCCCACCTCCACCTTTGCTGGGCCTCCTTCCCAAATTGTTCACCCCTTCCCCTGGTGTCTCTTCTTTCTGTGTTTTCAGTTGGGCATTAGACCTTCAGCTCCTGGAGCGTGGGGATGTTTCATGTGGTCTTTGTGCTTCACCCAATGCTTGTGATTGATTGGGGCGCCAGGCGAGTGGGGAAGGGAAAGTCCAGGAATGCCAGGGCTGGGAGCAGGGTTGTACTAGGAGGTGTTCGCAGGCTGGTCTCTGAGAGAAAAACTATACCCACAGTACACTGCATTATTAACATTTCTCCAGCTCTTCTTAAATCTCCATGGTCCTCAGCCCTGAACTGCAGTGTTGGCCCATTTCTCAGATAGACACGTTCATTCTGAAAGTAGCGTCAGCCCCACCGGGACGTTAGCACTGAAAGAGACCTCAGTCACCTGATCCAGCTCCTTCCTTGTACAGAGAAGGAAAGCAGGCATTTGGGCGTCACAGAAAAGTGGGCCCAGGGCTGTCACTACAAGCAGAGACCTTGGCAGTCTGGGAATACTAGGGACTTTTGGAATATTTTTCAGTGTATAGGATTATAAAGAAAATCCCTTGTTTTGAAATTGTCATAAATGTGTTTTTTACAGTTCACGGACCACAGGTTGAGAACCCCTGACCTGAAGTAATCCTGACACGTCATTCTTGCTTTACCTTGTGTCCCACATACCCAGCGTAGAGAGCCTCAGCTCGTGAGAGACACTTTGCTTTGTGCAGAGGCACCCTCAGATCCTTTGAAGGGCAGATTCCTGGGTGTGCTATTTCAAATGAGTCCATTTTTCACGTAGCTTTTTCAGAACCCATGGCGCCAAATAAAGACCATCTTTACTGGCCTGTATTTATCAGGTACCTTGCAGGGGAATGCTGAGCTCTTTAACGATGAATGTTTAGCCATTAGGAACCTTGGACCTACAGGTGCGTCTGCATGCGTATGCACTTGTGTATTTGTACCAAGGGGCCACCAGGTGGCGTCATGGTGCACAGAGTGCCTGGCCTGGAGTCAGGAACACTCCTTTTTCTGAGTTCAAATCCAGCCTCAGATACTAGTGTGTGAACCTGGGCAAGTCACTTCACCTTGTTTGTCTCAGTTTCCTCATCTGGAAAATGACCCGGAGAAGGAAATGGCAAACCACTCCACTATCTTTGTCAAGAAAATCCAAGCAGGGTCATGAAGAGTCAGATTTGACTGAAATAACTGAACAATTTGTGCTGTCTGACTTGGTCAGAAAACTTATCACAGTCATTCCCTGTGGGCCACACCTGCCTTCTCACAATCCAGTGGAGTCGAGGTGTTGAGGTGGCCAGTGTGCCCTGAGCATAGTAGAGGTGTGGCTCTGCCCCTGTGGGCGAGGCCTTTGCTGACAGGGGGTGGGGGGGGTGGGGGGGGTGTGCGTGGCGCCTTACTGTGCTGAGCATACATACCCTTTGCCTGCCATGATGGTGCTAGGTCTGTATCCCCGAGAGATCTGAGAAGGAGGAAAAGGACGCGTGCGTACACAAACATTGGTAGCAGCTCTGTTTGTATTGGCAAAGAATTGGAGACTGAGGGGATGCCCAGCCTTTGGGGAATGGCTGAATGCACTGTGGCATGTGGTTGTGACAGAATATTGTGCTGTGAGAAATGACGAGGGGGGTGGTTTCAGAGAAACTGAGGAAGACTTTGACGAACCGGTGAGGAGCGGCGGAAGCACCAGCGTAGCTGACGTGTGACGTTCTCTTTCTAGATTGAATGCCAGGCCAGGGATTGGAGGCGTCCGGTCTCGCGTTGGGCTCCCGCAGAGCCTCCTGAGTCGGCCAGCACCAACTGCAGGTTTCCAACAGACATTTGACGCTCGGCAAAAGATCGGCGTCACAGATGCCAGGCAGAAGTTGGGAGTCAAAGATGCCCGGGAGAAACTTGTGCAGAAAGATGCTCGCTTTCGGATCAAGGGCAAAGTGCAGGATGCCCGGGAGATGCTGAACTCCCGAAAACACCAGATCGTGGCGCCAGAGAAGGGGACCAAAGTGGCTGACGCCCGGGAGAAGATCAGCCTGAAACGGAGCTCCCCCGCGTCCCTGCTGAGGCCAGCCACCGGCACGCTGCCGCCCACCATGAAGATCACCAAAACCATCCAGGTAGGCGGAGTCGGCGGATGGGGCCAGGACCGGGGCACACGAGGCTGTCCCTGAGGGTCATTGTGGCCACAGGGCTTTGGAAGTCTGGACGGGCGAGGGAAAGGAGAACCATCCTCATCCTCCTAGCCAGCAGGCGCCCTGTGGCCTGTGCAGGAAAACAAAATGAGGGGCAGCTAGGTGGCCCAGTGGATGGAGCATCAGCTTTGGAGTCAGGAGGACCTGAGTTCAAATCTGGCCTCAGACACTGAAGTAGCTGTATGATCTTGGGCAAGTCACTTCACCCCCCATTGCCTCCAGAACAAGGCAAAACAAAAAACACCAAAACGCAGTTATGTTGACTTAGTAGTCCAAGGCACCCAGAGATGTAGCCAGGGATTGAAAGTCGGTTATATAATAGACCAGGTGTAGAGCTCCCTCCCCAGTGATCACGTCCTGCCTTGGGACGGCGCAAGCCGAACCTGCCCACGGGGGTGCCAAGACAGCGTGCGATGGAGCCACACGACCCGGGGGGGGGACGCCTTGGCGATGCTCCTCAGTCTCTAGCTTAGGAGACATTGACGGACTGGCTCCGGGGCCCCCGGGGCAGGGAATGCGGCTGCAACAGGAACAGCCTGTGGCCTGCAGATTACTGTCTGCTGGGCTCTCCCTTTGAAAGGAAAGAAGCACCTTAGGAGCCAGTTAGCCCTTCCTGCCTCCTTCCTTCCCTCCCTCCTCCTCCTCCTGTAGCAGTGACCAAGTGTGGCCATTGTAATTATATAGAGCTTGGTAAAAAACAAAACAAAACCCTTCAGGTCATTATGGATTCAGCCCTTTTTAGACTGGAATGAATCGACCTCCATTTTGTAGTCTCCTATCTGTGTTGGACTTCTCTGACCCTTAGGCTCTTCCTCTATCAGGGACAGAGCTGGCTTAGGACATGCCCGTATGCCTCATGGCCTGAATGGTGGGGGCTCCTTGGGTTCTAAGCTAGTTTTTCCTTGGAATGGGTTTCGCTGCCTCATCAGCCTCCCCTGAGGCAGTGAGGGCCTGTCGGTGGCCAGTTCCCGCTTCCTAGGAGGGAGGGTCACAGCCAGAGAGAGCTGCTCCCTGCCCTCCGCCCAGGGGAGGGGGCTCTGGCCTGAGGGCTGAGAACAGATCTAAATTCCTCAAGCTGCTGCCGGGGTGGGAGCCCCCTGAGGATGGCAGCTGCCACGTGAAGCCTTGAGTTCTGTGCTGTGTCTCAGGTCACAGACTTGGGCCGTGACCCTGGTGTTTAGTGGAGTCGTCTCTGGGGAAGATAACAGCCCTGCTCGTTGGGCGGTGGCCTGGCCAGGAGTCAGGTGACCGACTGAGGGACTGACCTCCCCGCGCTTCTCGGTTCCACAGCAGAAGGCTGCCCTCCCGATTCTTCCCCATCCAGCTGGAATGAGAATCAATGTGGTCAACAACCATCAGCATAAACAGGTGGGCCTCCCTGGATTGATTAGCCAGGCCCCTTGTGGCTGTGGGTGGGGGAGGACAGCCAGAGTCCGGTTAGTCAGCAGGCACATTTAGGAAGCGCCTGTATTGGGGAGCCTTTTGCTGAGGAAGGGGAAGGACAGCCCCTAGGGCCGGGTGCCCATCTGCCTTGTCCGGTGGCCCCAGGTGAGGCAGCAGGGGCCCGCGTGACCTGCCGCTGACCACTGGAGCCCACGCTCGCTCGGTCTTTCAGTGTGTGTCCAACGGAGGGAGAATGTGGGGTCTGCAGCCTTGCCCCCCCCCACCTTGGCTCCCCCATGTGTACAGCCAGGGCCACCCCAGGGATTAAGGGAGGTTTAAAGCTCCTTGCCTGTCAGGCATTCAGAGGGTCTAAAGGGACGGCAGACTGGGCGCTGCGATTGAGGGGGCTCGGGCATCCCGAGCTGGCCCTGGTCAGCGTCAGGACTGAGCTCCCCACCTCGGTCCGGCATCCTCGGCCCCCGAGGACCGATGTCCGTGAGCGGCCCTCGTCCAGTCCTCTCTTGTAGTCCGGCTGTCCTGGCGGGTCAGGGCGGTGCCGGTGGTGATGCTTGGTGCTGTTCTCAGGGCCTGTATGATGTAGATGAAGATGATGAAGCTGCCCCACCCATGGCCAGCAAACAGATGAAGGTCTCTGCCCCCCCTGGCTTCCTGCAGCACATGGTGAGGGCCCTTGGCGGAGGTGGGGGCGGGGTCTGGCCCTTCTGCTTTGTTGTCCCCCAAAGTGGGGCTCCCAGGGGATAGGAATAGGAATTCTGGGGGTTTATCTCTGTGTGAGCAGGATAAGAAATTGTGTACACACCGGTCTCAGAATCCTTGCGTGATAGGACAGTCTGGAGTTCCTTGCTTGGTTTCATGTGCCCGGCCCAGGGCTCACTTTGTACAGACCAGGAGTGACGGCTCTGTCCTAAGCATGTGCTCCACGGTGAAATTTGTTGGGGAGCACAGAGTGGGGGGGGCGGCGCACACGGATGACCCAGAAGAAGCTACAGGTGCAGCTGTGGTTTCCCGGCAGGTTCTGGACTGAAGCCCCAGGGCCTGAGCTCACGGGTGCCTTTAGCGGGGCTCAGTGCACTGAGGTGAAGGGAGAAAACCAGCAGGTTCCTGCCTCGTCTTCCCTGTCAGGGCCCCAGGCTGGTCATCGTGCCACAAGGCAGCCGGCCCACCACAAACTGAGAAAGCGTCAATTTCATTGGAGCCCTGCCCGGGCACAGCCCAGGTCTGGCGTGGTGGCAGCCGCCTGGGCTCACGATGCCATCCTCTGTCTGTATAGGCAGGGCTCAGCGGCTCCAAATTCTCCTTATCCAAGACCCTTCCTCTCACCAAAGTCGTCCAGAATGACACGTACACAGCCCTTCCCGCCCCACCTTCCCCTCTACGGACAAAAGCCTTGACCAACATGTCCCGGACCCTAGTGACCAAGGAAGAGCCCCCCAAAGAGACACCCCCTGCCGAGGTGAGTGCCGGGGGGAGGCCGGAAGGCTGGGTCCCCCAGTTAGCATCCCCCTGCCCCCACCCCGACATGGAGGACGAGGGCCATATGGGCCAGTGGCTGGGTCCGAGGGGAGGTCAGAAGGGTGGGTGCGCCGCCTCTCAGGAGAAAGCAGCTTTTGGTGCTGTCCTCGGCTCTGCCGTCTCTGGGAGTTTCTTGGAGGAAAGTATCCATCTGTTCTTTTTGTAAGTGCCGTGACACCCCCCAGAGCTGGCTGGGAAGAGGCTCGGGGCCTGGCCGTTCCCTCAGACGGTTAAGATCACCAAGGAAGATGGAGTAGCAAGTACATGCCCTGGTCTTGGGGCAAAAGACCTGTGTTCGAGTATACCTCCTGGAGGCAGGCCACAAGATGAGACCTCCATGAGCCTAACGAGAGTTACTCTTGCCTGGCTTCCTCTCTGGATTTTGGAGAGGGGGAGGTTTCATAACCCTCAGAGCCCTAGAGGCTGAGAGTCGTGACCGACTGTCCCCTGGGGCCCCGGCAGTGCTGCCTCCACCCACAGGGGCCGCTCCCTGAGGCTGGCGTCCCTCCGCCATCTCTGATCTCTGTGTTCTTCCCGTGGGTCTGCCGCGTGCACACGCCTGCCACGCCCCGCCACGATTCTGCCGTTGGTGTCGCAGCCTGTCCTCAGCCCGCTGGAAGGGACCAAGATGACTGTGAACAACCTGCACCCTCGGGTCACTGAGGAGGACATCGTGGTGAGTGGGCCGGGTGTGCCCCACTTGTGTGGGGGGAGGGGTTTTAGCATCCTTTTCAAAAAGTGGTGAATGGAGAGAGGACATTTAGCTCCCTCAGGCCAAGGGGGTTCGTCCTACAGAGCCTGATTTTGCCCCTTCTCCCAGACAGACTGGCCAGTGGTGTGACAGTCGGGGCCCCTGCCTCTCAGTGGGCCTGGCCTCGGTGACCATCCCAAGTCTTCTGCGATGGCAGGAAGAGAGAACAGATGAATGCGAGGGGTTAGGAGGGGGTCGCGCTGTACCTTCCTGCCAAGTTTCCTTTAGACAGTGATAGTAAAACCCATTGAACTTGCTGTGCATGTGGAGTTCATTATGGTCTCAGAAAAGCCAGCTCTGCAAAGCAGAGACGCCCGCCAGCAGCAGGAAGGAGGCACCGAGGCCCGGAGACTGGAGCGTGAGCGTGTGTCAGCGGGGTCCAGGGCTGGGTCCTCAGGGCTGCCTCTGTTTGTTTTCCCAGGAGCTTTTCTGTGTGTGTGGAGCCCTCAAGCGAGCCCGCCTGGTCCATCCTGGGCTGGCTGAGGTTGTGTTTGTGAAGAAAGAAGATGCCATCACCGCCTATAAGAAGTACAACAACAGGTGTCTGGACGGTAAGCCTGAGCGGGAGAGAAGCTGTTTGGGTGGCCTAAATCTTGTTCCCCTTCATCTCCGAACTGCTGAGATGAGCCCCCTTGGGGGAGTTCGGCCATCCTTCCCTGTGGCCCCAGCCTGAGCTGGAAGGAGGCTGGGCTGAGAGGCCTCCCCAGGGGGGTTTATATTTCTGGGGGGAGGTCTGTGTTTTAGTTTTTCCAATTACACGTAAAAATTATTTTTAAGCTTTTGGGGTTTTTTTTTTCACAATTTTGAATTCCAAATTCTTCCATTCACCCCCTTCATCGAGAAGGCAAGCAGGTTTGATAAAGGTTCTGTGTGTGTAGTCATGCAAAACTTATTTCCACATTAGTCATGTTGTGAAAGAAAACAGATAAAAATCCAAGAAAAACAGAGAGGAAAGTCTCCTTCAGTCTGGGGTGAGCCGCCCTCTGCTGTTCTTTGGAGGAGGACGCGTCCTTCAGAGCTGGCTGAGGAGAGCTGAGCCATTCAGGGCCCATCGTCCCACAGTGGTACTGTCACTGGGTACAGTGTTCTCCTGGTTCTGCTCACGTCACTTTGCATCAGCTCATGGAAGTCTTTGGAGGTTTTTCTGAGAGCATCGTGCTCCTCCTTTCTGACAGCACGACAGTCGTTACCACAGCTTGTTCAGGTGTCTGGTTGGGCGTCTTCTCAATGTCCGGTTCTTTGCAAGTTTATTGATACACTAAAAAAAAAAATCACCATTACTTTCCAACAAATGTCCCTTTCCCTCTCCCATCTCCCTTTCCTCCTTAACCAGGAAGTGTGTCTGACTGTGCCTCACTCTGTACGTGTGGTCCACCACCTCTGTGTTGAGAGGAGGAAAGAGACATGTTTTACCAATTGCCCTATACAGGCAGTGTGTGCCTGTGTGCAAAAGAAGGGAGTTAATCACTCCCTGTATGCAGGCATTCAAGTCCAGGGGCAGAGGAAAATGCCTTTTCTCCCGGGATGGGCACTTTATCTGGTTCCCAGGAGTTTGCATGGCAGTCCGGGCCCCAAGCTGGCTCATCTGCTCTTCATTTCCCAGAGGAGTGCAGTATGGGGCTCTGAATTGAGGAGCTGGAAAAAAAGCCTCTCAGAGGGAGGCCCCAGTGCTTCCTGTCACTCCTCTCTGAGCCTGCCTGAGAGTGAAAGGGGAAACTCTTCAGTCTGCGAGCACTTAGTAAGCACCTGCTGTATGCTAAGCACAGTACTTAACAGAGTTGAGGTGAGACACAGCCGTTACCTCATGGGGTCTGACAGATACATATGAAGGTCACTGTGGTCTGGAGGAACCAGGTGGCAGATCTAATCTGGGCTTTGGAGAGGACAGGTGGGAGCCCAGTAGGTGCAGGAAAGGTGGACAGTGCCGGCATAGGGGAGAGCCTGTGCTGAGTTCTCCAAGGAGAATGTGCTGACGACGTGGAAGAGGGAGACGAAGGCCCTTGTTGGGCCCCCGGGGACACTGTGTGGCAGGTGGGGCCAGATCTGGGTGGGGGAGTGGGGAGCCTGAATGTCATGCACAGTGTACTAGGGAGGCACTGAAAAGATCCTGAGGAAGATGGGTCTGGACGTGGTGTGAAGGATAGATTGGGGGGGTGGGGGGGAGCAGGGAGTGGAGATGCCTGCAGGGCCTGGGTTCCAGTTTGGACTCTGCTGCTTTGTGACCTTGGGCCTGTGCCTTGTTATTTGTGCAGTGAGAAAGTTGCAGGAGTCGATGAAGGGCTCTTCGATGCTGGGACAGATATGAGACGTTTGCAGACTTGCCAGCTGTTTGGCTGTGGCTGTGACAGTGAGGAAGAGGGAGGGGTCCCAGACTGGGCTATGGCTGTCCTGGGTTTAGTCAGAAGGTGTGGCTCTGCAGGAGTGAAGGGAGAATGGGGGGGAGTTAATGGGGACAGAATAAGCAGGGTTTGGGATGTGGACCCCCAGGTGGTGACACCTGGAGCGCAGTTAGGGTTAGGGTTGGGAGGTACTTGCAGTGAACTCGTGGTTAAGGTTATTGGCTGCGATTGCCAGGGTGGGATGGCGGAGCTGTGTGATGGGCTCTCCCACCCCCTCTTCCAAACAGATCTAGAAAACACCCGAGGAAGTCCAAGACAGTCACAAGTTCAGAAGGCGGCGGCTGTGTGGTTCTGGCTTTGAGCCCAGGTGACAAGCTGCAGATGAATAACGCAGGCAGGAATCCCAGATCAAGGGGAAGCCTGCAGTTCTGTCCCTCTGAACCCCCAGGGCTTCCCAGCTGCCTCTCGGGGCAGAGTCCAGCAGCATCTACCATGGCTCGGACCAGGGGGAGCAATCAGACGTTAGCCTAAATCAGATCCCTCAGGGAGCACTGAAACCTCGCAGGTCCCTGACCTAAGCTGTCCCTGAAGTCCTGGAATAACACAACACGCAGCACCCTGAGAAAGCAGCACCAGGACCAGTCCAGCCCTTCCCTCCAGAAGTTCTCAGAGTTTGGCTCTAACATCAAGTCTCTGGGCTGGAAGAATGGACAAAGAAATAAAAGAATCTCACCCTAATGAGTAGGATTAATTATCATTACTATGGCAGAGAAGCTCAAGACACAAACCCAGAAGGAGAGAATGACTCCACAACATCTGCAAGCAAAACCTCAGAGAAAAACTCATCCTGGGCTCAAACTCAACCAGAATTCCTGGAAGAGACACAAAGTAAGAGTTTTAAATAAAAGTTTTTAAATATTCTTATAAATGAAAAGAGAGAGCTAGAGTAAAAAATAGGAAAAGAAAGAGCTGTGGAAAAAAGAATTGGAAAGGAATTAACAGTGTGGCATGACAGGTATAAACCTTGTCCAAGCAACAAACTCTGAAAATTAGAATGGACTCCACAAGACAACGAGAAATAGTAAAACAGTCAAAAGACTGAAAACCTCGAGAAGAACAAATTAAGAATCACTGGATTATCTCAATACCATGACCAAAAAAAAAAGGCCCGATGTCCTCCTCTTTGAAGAAATCCGAAAACTGCCTGGATTAGAACCAAAGGACAAAGAGGACATGGAAGGAATCTGCCAGTCACCTCCTGAAAACTCCCTGGAGCTTCATAGCCAAAATCGAGGGCTACCAGATTTAAGGAAATACTGCAGAGCCAGAGAGAGGTGGAATGCAGAAGAGCTGGAGCCGGGATCCCACACGATTCCACAGCCACCACAAGGAGGCAGCAGAGAGCTCATAAGGCAAAGGCTTGGGCTCATAGCCAAGAACTCTCCCAGCAGAACTGGGGGATAACATGGACCTTTAAGGAAAACTCAGGCCTGCAAGCATTCCTGATGAAAAGGCCAACGTGAATGAGCGCTCATGAAGGAACCAAGGAGGAAACACAACGTCTAGTATGGGGAGATGAACACTGAGTCATCGTCGGGGTCTTGGGGGGCCACAAGGCCTGGGCTGCTTCTGGTCTGTCCTGATCTTAAGAATGGAAGGAGAGGGGCAGAGGAAAGGAAGGTCAGGAAAACTGTCTGCCATAACGAGGACGCAGAAGTAGATGTCTGTGCAGACGAGCAGGGGTGAGGCAAGAGCTGATGCTTGAAACTCATTCTCATCTGCACTTGGCAAAGGAGGGAAGAAATGTGCGCGTACACACACACACACACACACACAGCGCTAGAGAAATACATTTCAGGGGCAGCTAGGTGGCTCAGTGGATAGAGCACCCACCCTGGATTCAGGAGGACCTGAGTTCAAATGCGACCTCAGACACATAACACTTACTAGCTGTGTGACCCACATTGCCTAGCCCCCCCCCCAAAAAAATACATTTCAACAAAGAAACAGGGAAGGGGGAGAAGGAATTAGAGGAAGGGTAGATTAAGAAAATAAACCTAACCAAAACAAATTTTAAGGATGTACACAAATATTTCTAACTCTTGAAGATATCAAAGAATTGGAAACTGAGGGGGTGCCCATTCTTGGGGGAATGACTGGTTTTGGAGGAACTTGGAAAGACTCGTATGAACTGATGCAAAGTGAGGTGAGCTGACCCAGGAAAAGGGTCCCTGCCATACCAGGGGAGCCCTGCTGAGCTGCATGACTGCTCCAGACTCCAGAGGCTCCTGAGGAGGCCTGCTGGCTGCCTCCTGACAGAAGTGTAGGACTGGGGTACAGAAGGAGACGCACGGTTTTCGATGTGGCCAGTGTGGAGATCTGTTTGCTTGAACCTGTATGTTTGTAATGTGGTTTTTTTTTTCCATTTTGTTCTCATACGGATGGGGGAAGAGGTGGATTTTTGTTGACTGAAAAAAACAAAATGTCTTTAAAAAAAAAGATATTGCCAACGTGGTGAGAGTATAGCAGAGACCATAGCCTAAGTGCTGGGCTCCAGACTTCCATGTGGCTCTTCAGCTTTGGCCACGGGCAGGTCGCATCCCTTTTCTGAGCCTCACTTTCCTCATCTGTGAAATGGGCAGCTAATGCTGCCCGCCTGCCCTCAGTGGTGGTTGTGAGGAAGCTGCTTTGTAGATGTCAGTGTCAGGGTTCAGATACACAGGGAAACCAGATGGTTCTGATCCCTTCCCGTCCTTAGGCCATCTTCTCTTTGTGGGGAGACTTGGATCTTTCCTTTTTATGCCCTGTAGAGGTGTCATTTTATTAAGGGCACAAGCTTTTCTGGTCCCCACCCCTGACTGAAGCAGCCGGCTCCCCCACTGAGCCTCGGCTTTGGGCACCTGAAGCACTTAGCCCTTTGGGGGTTGGCCTGGCCCGGCGCGGCTTCTGCAGAGCTGCCAACATCGTCTTGTATCTGGTTTTCAGGGCAGCCGATGAAATGCAACCTTCACATGAACGGCAGCGTTATCACATCGGACCAGCCCATCTTGCTGTAAGTGTCCAGGGAGGGCTGCTGGGCAGGATGTGCGTGCCCACCACTTGTGTCCTGGGGTGCACCCCAAGGGGCTGCTGTGCCCCTTGCTGTCATCCAGTTGAGAGTGGGGGGTCAGGCTTGACGTAGTGTAAGGGCTCCTTGGAAGTGAATTCAAGTCCTGCTTGGCCATTTTACTCCCCCCGTGACCCAAGACAAGTCTCTTCACTCCTTTGAGACTCTGTTTCCTCATCTGTAAAATGGAGATGATAAACCCTTGTACTGTTTACAAAGCAGTTGTAGGGGAAGGTGCTTTGTAAGGCCAGGGGGCAGGACCAGTTTCATTCCTCCCTTGCTGATTGTTGAGCTCTCAATGGGCTTTCGAGTGAGTCACGTCGTCAAAGGCCGTCCTAAAAGGGTCCTCAGAACAATTCCTGGCATTAAGCAGTTGGCTGGATGTTTGCTGGCGCACTCGATGGTCTGGGATGGTCTGGGCTGGAGCACTAGGTCAGGTTGAATTACGTCAGAAAGGCAGTGAGTGGTGAATTAGGCTCTGCATTAAGGACCTTAACGAAAAGCCCTTCTTTTAAATACTGATAAGATCTGACATTTCTACTGTACCCGCTGTCTACAAGAGCAGCTGGGCAGTGCAGAGGATTGAGCACGGGGCCTGGGATAAGGAAGACCTGGGTTCAGAGGTGATCACAGACACTGACCCTTGTCTTGTGTGACCCTGGGCAAGTCACTTCACCCTGTTTGCCTCTGTTTCCTCATCTGGAAAATGAGCTGGAAAAGGAAATGGCAAACTGCTCCAGCATCTTTGCCAAGAAAACCCCAGTGGGGCGATGACTTCATGACGAACAAAAGCTGTCTGCAGAGTACTCTACATTATCGCCACTGAGCTTCACAATAGCCCTGGGAGGTAGAAACGAAGGCTCTTCTGACCCTTATTTTACAGATGAGGAAACAGACTCGGGTTAAGGGACCAGCCCACCTGGGGTCACAGACAGAGCCAGCAGGTGTCCCGGGTTAAAGCTCGGGGCTGTCTCCACTCTGCCACACCTGATGAAACCTTTCGGAATGGTCCCGAGGAAGGGCCTGGCCGTAGTTCCCGTTTGGAATGTTTGCTGGTGTCAGCCTGTGGTCGTTCCTCGGCTAGGCCACCCTGTCACTTGCCAGGAGCAGCCCCGAGGGGCCACCCTCTCGGGCCCCTGTTGGCCTTCTCATCCTGCCAGGAACAGCCCCTTCATGGAGAATCTTGGAGCCCATTCTGAGCTGTGGCTTCTTCCCGTCAGCCCCAGTGAGAGGCGTGCAGATTCCTCACTGCCTTGTCCCTGAATTGTTAGATGTGGCCTAACCTGTTCTTCTGTCTCCATCTCTAACCACAAAGTGAAGTGTCTTCAACCAGAGAAAGCCAGGGCGTGTCCCCCAGGCCAGGAGTGCTGCCCTGGATGTCCCCTGCCCTCCCTCGGGTCCTCTGATCCTTCTTCCCTGTCACAGCTTCCAAGTGAGCCAGCTTGGACTCTTAGATTGGATAAGGGAATACCTTGCCATGAAATGTGGACTTCTCAGGGGAATTTTCCAGTTGCCTGAAGACCAGGGCAGCTTTTGCTGTTCATGGTCACAACTTTAGTTTGGTATCTGTGAGCTCTGAGTCTTTGCTCTCCTGACATGCCCTCAGCCCTTGGCTTGTCCCTGACCCTTTCCCTGGAGCCCTTTGACCTCCATGGGAGTCACAGCTCTCTCCCCAGTGGAGCCCCCCCTGCCCGCTAAGCAGGATCCATTAGTCATGGAGTCAGAGTTCACTGTACAGCTAAGAGACAGGAAGTCATTCGTGTCCTGCAGCCCAGAAGCCCAGGACAGAGCCCTGTGGAGGCCTTCCCCGAGTCTGGCCAGATCCACAGAGCCAAGGCCAGCCATTCAGCCTGGGTGGGGACTGGAGACCAGATCCTTGCAGGTAGGCCGTGAGCGAGGCCTCCCTTCTCTCTGGGACAGGACCTGAGGGCACGGTGGGCAGGTAGCCCTCTGGGGCTGGCCGCCAGGTTGACCAGGGCTCACTTGTCCCTCTGCCCCCCACAGGCGACTCAGCGACAGCCCGTCAGTGAAGAAGGAGGGTGAGCCTCGGAGGCTGAGCTCCGGTACCTCGTCTCACCCGCCCGCAGAAGTGGATCCTGACACCATCCTGAAGGCTCTCTTCAAGTCTTCTGGGGCCTCGGTCTCGGTGCAGCCCACGGAATTTAAGATTAAACTTTGAAAAGGGAATCTGGGCTGCCGGAAGGCAGGAGAGGAGGGAGGCAACGGCCGCCCGCCTGCCCTCGCGCTGGCTCAGACACGGGCTGTGCTGCCACGTGGACAGAGTCCACGGGAGCTCACGCCTTTCTCGTGGGACCGTGCTGGCACTGGCCGGCTGTGGGTGGCGCTTTCTTTCTGCACTCACGCCCTCCCCTGTACCATAGTGTTTTCTTTAGGGTGTGTTTTCCCTTTTTTCCTCTCTCCTTCCCTTCCTCTCAGTTGGGGTTTTCGCTTTGTTTGGTCAGATCTGTTCCCCTGTTCTTATCTCCAGGCTAGAAGATGCCCTGGGGTCCGACCCTCGCTCTTGGGTGTCCAAGAGCCCCATCCCACTAGGGAGGAGCCAGGCAGATGGAGAGAAAGCTCCTTCTCCAGGCCTCAGGCTTTGCCCCTTTCCACTCCTCTGGGAAAGAGGTCACCTGGGGCTCCTGCTGCTAGCGGGAGCCCCGGATGGGGGTGGGGTGCCAGGGGACACCCAGTGTCCCATTCCCACCTCCCTGTGGCCCCGGAGCTCGGCCTCAGGGCTGAGAGGGCCCAGGCTGGGAGGTGGTCTCCTGGCCAATGAGAAGAGCTTGGGGGGGGCGGGGTGCTTACTGCAGGCCTGTCCTGTGGTCTAGACGTGGCCCTGCCCATCCCCCTTGCCACCTTCTCCTGACCTCCACAGAAGCCACACACACACACAGGACCTTCATGATAGACTTGGGTCACCTGTTGCCTGTGCCCAGCCCCTCCCCAGGCCAGAGGAGTGGGATGTCTTGTTGGCCACTGCCCTCTCTCCTTGCCCCTGTCTAGCCAGCTGTGCTGAAGAGCTCCACTTGCTTGGCTTTGAGAACAGGGTTGTTGAGGGGAGATTGGGAAGTGCTCCCCGGCGTGGGCCTTCCCAGAAGAGCCCCACCACCTAGAAGCCAGCTGGGCGTCCGAGGCGAGACCCCTCCGGGCAGCCCAGGAAAAGGAGATGGCCACAGACTCATTTTTCTCTCCATAGCTTTCAAATTCCCTGGGGAAAGTTGAAGAGGTACCCAGTATTGGGGAGGCCTCACCCTTGGGCGTGACGGCGGCAGCGTCCCTTCCTCTCTCCCTGCCTCCCAGGAAGGGGCTGGGGTTTGGCGGGCCTGGGCCTCGGCCCCCCCCTTTTGGTCACCATCCGTGTCTCATTTTGTTCGGAGGGAGAGGGGGGGGCATCGAGTCAGGAAAGACTGTGTATTCACCTGTTTCTGAATAAACGTTTGTTATACCTAGAGCAGCCGGGGTGCTTGTCTATCGCCTGTGTGCACGGATGAGGGCCCCAGGCAGCTAGAGAGCAAACGGGTTGGGCCTGCCGTAGACCTAGCAGGTTATGGGAGCAGAGTAGGTGCACCAAGTGTGGTTTCCTTACAGAGCTCTGCTTGTCTGCCTGTTGAGAACCTAGTTTGAATCGGGTTCTCACCGCACGGACACCCAGACTCTTACTCGGCTGTCTGCAGACATCTGCTCGCTAGTCCAGGGAGCACGTTGGGAATGAGCCACCCCGGAGCCCGACACCTCCTTTTGGGGGATGGGGCCTCGTGTTTCCACCGCTTCCAGAAGAGAGATGCGCAGGAGCTAAATAAATGCTAGCAGCTGGTTAATCCTGGCCCTGACCGTCAGCATCTTTGAATGGCATTCATAGTTGTGGTGGGAAAGAATCAGGAATCTCATGCCTAACCTTCATTCCCCTAAAATCTCCTGGATCTTCCAGGACTTGACCGTATTGTGCTAAGCACTGAATAGCTACATACAGATGGGCCAGAGGAGGGGGAAGCAGAAGCTGGGCTGAGGAGAGCGCTAGGTTTGCAGGCTGCGAAGCAGGGCTCCTTGCAGAAGGTGGGATTTTAGCTGAGAGCTGAAGGGAACCCACAAGAGGATGGTGAGAATTGCGGAATGGGGACAGTGCGCTGGTGAAAATGCCTAGAGTGGGGAGCTGGCGAGGGAATCCCCAGTGGGAGGCTGTGGTTCTGGGATGGATCACAAAGGGCTTGGAGTGGGGAAGTGGGACGAAGACTGGGCAGGGAGGAGGGGATAGGGAGCCCCTGGACTCTATCGAAGGGTTAGCTGCCATTCAGGAAGATCCACAGAGAGGAGGCAGGGCGCATGGACGAGGCCGGGAAGGCCGGGGTGAAGAGAGGAGGGCCTGCCCTCCATGGTCACCTGTGAATTGAGAGGTGGGAATGAGAAGTGGAGAAAGGACGAGACCTGGGGGAGGGGGACGACGCCAAGGTTGGCCGTGGGAGGCCCTGGGAAGAGGGTGGTGCCTTCAGATCACATCAGATGCAAGTTTGGAAGAGGCTTCCGGGAAGTTCCAAGGCCGGTGACCGGCCCGCAGGACGCCCTCCTCAGCCCCTCTTCAGTGCCCTCCCTCTGTCATAGAGCTGTCCTTTCTCGAGCTGGTCTAGGGATGCTTTTGTCGTCTCCCCATTCGACTGTAAGCCCACCCCCCCACCGAGGGCAGGGTCTGTCCGCCTTTTTGTATCCCGGGCGCTTAGCACAGTGCTAGCACCTAGTAAGCGCTTAATCAATATTGATTGCTTTGTCGACTGATTGATGGGATATGCTGAGTTTGAGCTGCCCGCGGACGGTCTGGTGCGAGATGTCCAAAAGGCGGGCGGCGACTGGAGAGAGGTTAGGGCTGGGTGTGTGGTCTGCAAAGAGCACGATGGGGAGGAAAGCTCTGATAAAACCGATCAGCGACGTTTTATTAAACACCTGCTGAATGCCGGCACTGCGCTGGTTAGCGCCTTGAGTCTGGAACGGGCCGGGGGCCAGGGCTCCGAGACGTGGGGTTTAGCCCTTGATCGAGTGCTAGCCCGCTCTGTGACCGCGCCCTTTCTGAACCTCAGCATTCTCATCTGTGAAATGGTCACAAAGATGCTTGCCCCAGCCCCACGCGGTTCAATAGTATTCTTAATCACGATAGTTGATCAAATGATCACATCACTCTCTGCTCATCTCCTGCCTAAAGCGTAAGCATAAGCCCTCCCCAAGCAAGTGCTCAGCACACACGTGGCTAGGGCAGGAAATGGGCGTCTGTATCTTTAACTGCTCGCCCCCGCGGGGAGCACGTGACTTCTCCCGTAGTTATGGCAACGCCTCCCGCTCCTACGTCACTTCCGAAACGCTGTCCCACCCACTTTTGCCTCGCCCTTTCTCGCCGCCCAACTAGAACTACGACTCCCAGCAGCCCTCGCGCTATTTCCCATCATGGCGGCGGGCAAGAAAATGTGTGCGAAGGAAAAAACGCCGGAGGGGGCTCCGAGTCCGCCAGGCTACCGAGGTGAGGCCTGGGGGGGGGGGTCCGGGCGCGGGCTGGGGAAACCTTCCTGCCCTTGCTTAGTAAATACTTCTCGAACGAAGGAATCGACCCAGTCGTGGGCTGTGGGGGAGGGAGCAGCCCTCCAGCTGTTTGTTCCTTAGGGCTGGCGGGTGGGAGGGCCTTGAATGCCGAGCCTGGCCCTTCCATGGAGGTGCAGCCTGGTGGGGTGCCGCCCCTCTTTGCGCACTCTGCTTGGGAACGGTTCCAGGGGTGGGACTCGGCCCGGGCAAAGGCGAGGAGGTGGGAGGCGGGGCAGGAAGGAGAGCCTGTCTGGACGGTGGTGTGCCGCAGGGGACAGTCAGCGTAGATAAGCGTGGGGGGGTTGTGCTGGAGGTAACGGCCCCCCGCTGGGGTTTAGTGAGCAGGCAGTGCCACTTCCCGACGCTTCCCTTGCAGCCATCCCCATCAAGTTCTCCCAGGAGCAGGCATCCTCTCACTTCCTCTACGTCAGAGAGCACCGAGTTCGAGGGGGCGCCAAGTCCAGCTGGCCTCCAGGACGCACGCTCTTTGTCCTCAATGTGCCCCCGTACTGCTCAGAGGTCAGCGAACCCACTGTGGGGTGGGGGGGGCTCTGGGGTGGGTGGTGAGAAGCAGTGCAAGCAGGCCCAGGACCTGGGTTCGAATCCAGCCCTCTGCCTGTGTGCCTCGGTTTCCCCCTCTGTAAAAGTGAGGTGACATCCCAGGGCCCAGCAGGCTGAACTCCAACCCATCCTCACCAGCTGTGGGACTCTGGGCAAGTGACTTCAGCGCTGGCTGCCTCAGTTTCCCCTATTGCCCCAGCAGCTGCGTCAGGCACGCAGGGTATGGTTGAGGGAGATGTGTCCCGAGCGTTTAGGAGTTACATTTCAAAGGCTTGACGCCTCTTGCTTGTGTTTCGAGTTTATCTCTGGATACGTGCCACGGCCCTGCCTAGTGTAAGCGCCTGCTGTGTGCCAGACACTGGGCTGGAAGCAGGCAAAACCGTGCTCCCTGCCCTCAAGGAGCGTACAGTCTGGGGGTGGACACAGCGTGCAGGCAGCCGGGTCCAGCCAGCAATTAGCAAGGAAAGAGGGACCCAACTTGAGCCTGTGAAATTGACCTGCCCGTTGGCCGGGTCTGCCTGCTGCACCCAGAGCCCCTCCCTCCCCGCACAGGGGCCGTCCCTCAGCGCCTCTCGCGGGTCCTGCTCCTGACGCGGCGCTCAGCCTGGGAGCCCACTTCTGGGGAGTCCCAGCCTCACCCCCTGCTTTTCCTTCCTCGGACCGTGGGCAGGAGAGCCTGGCCCGGCTCTTTGCCGCCTGTGGCCCCGTCCAGTCCGCATCTGCACGAGAGGCCAGACCTGTGCGAGACGCCAAAGGAGGCCCCGTCGGCGTTCTTCTGCCCAAAGCCTGTCCCGGTAAGTCTCCTGGGAAGTGCTGCAGGGGACCGGGGAGGCGGCCGCGGGCTCGGGGCCCCCAGGAAGAATGCTGGGGGAGAGCTGACCCTTGGAAGGGCGGCATCGGGACCCTCCCCCCCAGTGTGGGGGCTCCCGTCCTTCCCGTCCCCCTATCTTTCTGGGGACCCTGCAAGGCCTCCAGCAGTGCCCGGGTAGAGCTGCCTCAGAGCCTTTACCTGGTGTGTCCTCGTCCTCGCTTTGTCCTATCATGTTTAAACGGGCATCTCCAGGTGGACCCCTCCCCGGAGACACCACAATCGTCCACAGAAGGGTCCAGCACCCAGACCACCCCTTTGTCCCCCTTTTTAAACCCCGAGCTCAGGGCTGCTCAGAGGGGGACGCAGGCAGGGACAGGCGGGCACCACCGGTTGCGGTTGCGCTGGCCGTGTAAAGGAGCGGAGGATACGGACCCCCAAAGTCTGACAGAAAGCGGAACCGCCAGGGAGCCTCGTTAATACCATGTGCCCCCCTTTCTTTTCGGTGGGCTCACAAATAATCCTTTTTCTGTTCTACTTTCCGCGTGAAGATGCTCGGGGGGGGGCATTAAATTGGCTAGACTGGGCCTGGGGCCTCCTGGGCCAGGGACTTGCCCAGCATGTCAGGGCAGAACTTGAACTCAGGATCTCCTGGCTCTGACTTCAGTTTTCTGTGTTATTCTGCCTTTCTTTGTTTCTAAAACAGAAGAAATCAGATCAGTGTGTATCGGGAAAAAAATCATTGGTGCTTCCTAATGGCTCATCCCTCCCTTAAAGCCTCCAGCGCCCTAGAAGCAGCTAAGCAAAACCAAAGCCCCCTTGGGCCGTTTCTGGCAAGGTGTCCCTTGCTCAGTGCCTGTAGCCCCCCACCTTTCATCCGTTCCTCAGTCACTGCTGTGGCTGTCGTGGCAGCTAAGGGGGGAGCCCAGCTGATGGAGGCAGCCTGCGACCCAGCCGGGGTCTCCGGGTGTGCCCTCATCTCGGCCCCCCTCCTTCTGCAGGGTTTCCACGTGGCTTACGTGGTGTTCAGGAAGCCAGCGTCTGTGCCGAAGGCCGTGGCTCTTCAGGGACCTCTGATCATCTCAACGGAGAGCCACCCGGTGAAAACTGGCATTGAGAGTCAGTGGGGGGGGGGCGGGCTGGGGGGCGGGCAGGAAGGAGCCCACGCTGACCCCGGACTCCTCTTCCGCTGCAGGTGCAGACTGAGCTGGTCTCTTGATTTCATGTGATTTCATGGAAGTCATTACTGGACCTAGCGCGTAGTCTTGTGATTTTAGAACTAGGAGGGACTTGGGGCAGAGAGGGGGCGCACTGGCCCTGGAGTCAGAAGGACCTGAGTTCAAATGCGCCTCAGACACATGCTACTCACTAGCTGTGTGATCCTGGGCAAGTCACTTAACCCTGATTGCCTTGCAAAAAACCCCAAAAAACTAAAGGGGGACCTTGGAAGCCTCGTTTTACAGATGAGGAAATAGGCCCAGGTGCCCTGACTCCAGATCTGACCTTGCTGTGTGGGCCGTTTCCCGTTCTGCTGGTCCTCTGAGCCCTCACCCCAGGAGCTCCCCCTTCCTCCTGCCCTGGGAGGCCCCACAGCCCTACAGAAGCTAGATGTGATGAGATGACAGACTTAATAAGTAATAACGACAGTTAACATTTACACGGCGCCTGCTATGTGCTGGGCACCATGCTCAGCACTTTGTCAGCCCTGGAAGGGAGGGGCCAGAATTATTTTCATTTTACAGTTGAAGAAACTGAGTGCAGTGACTTGCCCAGGGTCAGACAGCTAGTAAGTGTGTCAGATTTGAACTCACATCTTGCTGGCTCTCTGTTGTACCATGAGGGCAGAAGTCAGAAGGGCTTTCTGGGGGAGGTGGCGTGTGGTCCCTCACTGTTGCCTGTTTGCCAGAGTGGACAGCGGATTACGCAGACTCTCTAGTGGACCCGGAGGCCCTCAGGCTGGAGGTGGACAAGTTCATGGAAGAATATGACAAGAAGACAGCCGCGGTACGGCAGCCTGCTGACCAGGGGACGAGTGGGGGTGGGGCAGGGTCCAGGCCTGGGTTAACGCCCCAGAGACACAGAGGGCAGCTGGCTGCCCCCAGAACTTTCAGGGACTTCACTGCAGCGTGTTTCCACCCCCGGGTTCAGTAACAGGTCAGGGGCCCACAAAGAGAAAAGATGAGAAGGGCCTAGGATGAAGTCGGTGAAGATTCGAACCTTTGACTCCCAACCTAGCACTCTCCCAGCTCTGGGAAATAGGGCCAAGCTCAGAAACGGAGGCTCAGCCTGGTTGGCCCTGGGCCCCGGGGCAGCGGCTGATGGGGTGGCCTCCCTCTCCCGCAGGAAGACGCTAAGGCAGAGGCAGAGGAGGGGGTCCCAGATGAGGAAGGCTGGGTGAAGGTGACCCGCAAAGGCCGGAGGCCTGGCCTGCCTCGCTCGGAGGCCGCCAGCCTACGAGTGCTGGAGAAGGAGAAACGCAAGAAAGCGCGCAAGGAGCTGCTTAATTTCTATGCGTGGCAGCACCGAGAGACCAAGATGGAGCGTGAGTCGGGGCCCCAGCCTGGCCTGGAGAGGAGTCCCCCAACCCCTCATTGGTAGCCCCATTTTTACTGGGGAGGAGCTGAAGGTCCCCCCAGGTGGGCCCGGTAGATGGGAGGGCCTTCACTCCCCTGCTGTGTGGGAGATGCTCATCCCTCCTTTCCCTCCAGGGAGTTTGGGAGGTAGGGGCTGGGGCAGCTTGAGGAGGAAGGGCCAGACCAGCCCTGCCTGCCTTTCACTCCCTCCATACAGACAGGGCTGGTGAGGCCCAGTGCATCAGGGCCCTTCCCGCAGTCCATCCCTGACCAGTCCAGTGACCCCCTCACACCCCGGGGTTGGGGGGGCGGGGTTGGCGCTGCTCACTGCCCTGATCTCTCTCCCTGGAACCCCTCCCCTCCTGAATCACACAGAGCAGGAAACTGTCCAGGCTTGGGTGCCCATAAGGGTCAGGGCCCAGGTGCCCAAGGAGCCCCTCCCTAAGCAGGCCCACCCCTCCCCCCTGACCTCTGCTCCCTCCCTCCCTCCATCCCAGACTTGGCCCAGCTGCGGAAGAAGTTTGAGGAGGACAAGCAGAGAATCGCCTTGATGCGGGCGCAGCGCAAGTTCTGCCCATACTGAGTCGGGGTGGCCAGGCCCCCCTGAGGACAGGGACCTGCCGCCGTGGTCTGCGGACCGAAGGAAGCAGGCCAGCCTTTGGGGGGGGGTGCCCCGTCTCCACAGGGCTGTCACCATGTTCCAGAAGATGTAAATAAAGGACGGACATCACTTCTGCCAAGTTGTCTGCGTGGTCCATCGGCATGCTCGGCCTCTGAGGGCCCCCTCTCCCCCCCAGATCCCTGCCACACCCCGAGCTCCCACACCCACAGGCAGTGAAAGGGGTAAGATTTTATTTGTCCAGCTGTGGAAGGCTCCCCAGGTCATTTCTGGGAGTGGTCCCGGAAGGGCTTGGCCCTAGCCCCTCTGCCCTGCCCTCCCCCCCTCCCCCAGCTGGTCCCTGCTGCTGCCAGCAGATGGGGGGTGGGAGCAGGGCGGGGCAGTCCCCGCCCACGGTCCGTGGCATCGGCAGAGGGCGTGTGCTGGCCGATTTTACTGGGCCTCCGGGGCAGCGTCTCTGCTGTGCGTTGGGGTCTGCCCACGGGGGGGCAGGGCTACAGGTGGGCCTGCACGACCCGGTTGCTCTCCAAGAAGTCGCTGATGATTCCGGCCACCCGCTGAGGCTCCTGCATGTGGACGTAATGGTTGCCGGTGACCTCCACGTACTGGTAGCGCTGCAAAGGAAGCGCCCGGAGTGAGTGGCCATCTGCTGTCCGGGGGCAGGACCAGCCTCTGCCTGCCCCAGGGAACCCCAGGGGCCTCCCCGCCCCCACCCGCCAGGCCATCTCACCTCCTTGAGGGTCGACTTTAAAACTCTCTGAACGAACTGCAGGGAATCTCTGATTTCGTCCTGGTTTTCTCGCCCATAGGAAACGTATCCCTCGGTGGCCCTTAAGGAAGAGAGATCGCTGGTGGTCCCCGTGGGGCCGGCTTGGAGCTACCCAAGGGAGGAGCGGGCCCCCCAGAGCTTCGTGTCCTTGGCGTGTCCGGGCCGGCAGGCCTCCCTAGGGCGGGGGCCGGCCCCCCCCCTTAGTCTGGAGGCCCCTCCCCTCTTCTGGTGTCTCTGATCTTGGCTCATTTGGGGCAGTTTGGCTGAATCCGGGAAAGGTCTATTGGGGCCACTCCTGGCTAGATTTCCCCCCAGGCCTGAGGCTGCTCTCGGAACCAGAGGAAAGGAGGGCTGAGCCGGGGGTGGGGTGGGGGGGTGTCCAGGGGCCGGTAAGGAGGCTCCATTTGCACTTACTTAATGTGGAGGACTCTAGCCTGCATTTTCATGCAAAAATACTCCAGCTGGTTCTTGCTAACGAGTTCAATGTGATTCTCTGTCTGGGAGGGGAAACATCAAAGCGCCATGAGTGAGAACCCTCCCCTCGGCGGGAGGGGTGCCGCGCTGTGTCTCCGGGTTGGGCCAGTGACACAAAGTAGCATCTGTGGGGAGCAGTGAGGTTTGCAAAGCATTTCTTGGGCCCTCACAACAACTTGGGGGGGGGGTTATGTTATTATCCCCATTTCACAGTTGAGGGAACTGTGGCACGTAGAGGTTACCTGAGGCAGGATTCGTACCCAGGTCTTCTGGACTCCAGCCTCCTACCTACTGGGCCATCTTCCCCGAGGGAGAAGAGGGAGGCGGAGATGCCTCCTGGCCCGTATCCCAAGATAGCTTGCCTATCCCAAGATAGCTTGCCGTGTTTTCCCAGGACACTTCCGGGCAGATTCTGCACAGATGTGGCACACCCTGGAGTGTCTCTCTGTGATCTAGGCCCGACGGGAGTTAGGAGTTCCGAGTTTGAATGCTGATGGCCACTCCCTGGAGATGTAACCTGGGCCGGGTCTCGTATCCTCCTCTGGGAAATGTTGGGGATAGATAATGAAGGCAGCCAGTAGAAAGCTGGTCCAGGAGTCACGAAGGGCCGAGTTCAAATTCAGCCTCAAGCTTACACCCTTTTTTGCTATGTGGCCCTGTCTGCCTTAGTCTCCTCATCTGTGAGATGGGGAGAGTAATAGCACCTGCCTGCCAGGGTGGTGGTGGTGAGGACGAAGATGATCCAGAGGCAAAGTGCTCTGTAAAGCCCCAAGGAAATGCCAGCTGTCTCCACGGCCCCCTCTAGCTTGGGCCTAGCCTTGCGACTCTGCCAAGGTCACCAGCTGGGTTAGCCGCTGGCTCATCCATGCGGGAACCTAGACCCAGGGGCTTGCTAAGCTCCTAATTAGATCTAGCTGACTGGGATCCTTCAAGCTTTCCCGGCAATGCCCCCCCAAGCCACGAGATGGGGATGTCACTAGGGGAGTGGGCAAGGGGCTCACAGATACTGGGGGGGGGTCTTCACCCTTCTGCACCCTGCTTTGGGCAGCAGGCCCCTCATCCCTCTGAAAAACCAGATCAGAAAGTTCCTTACGTTTAGAATCCGGATTTTATGAGGTAGGGATGAAGTCCCCAGAGGGGGAGGGGCTAGTGCAGTTGGGGTCCACACCTTCGGCCCTTTCCCCCTGTCCCAGTCTTTGTTATGGCCCACCTGTCCTTCATGGCCTCCTGCCTAGTGCTGGAAGGGTAGTAGGGCCTCCTGACCTCGGGAGAGTACACACACCCTCCCTGAGGACAGATTACAGCCCCTCTTCCCACACCTCTACTAGAGTGGGCTGCTCTAGCCGGTCCTCGGCCTGGAGGCCAGCTGGTTGGAGAGGTCCCGGCAGAGCTGGTACCCTTCTCTTGAAGGGGCTGGGGCAGCTCCAGGTCGGAGTGAGGTGGGAGAGGGGGGCTCTCCTAAGGCACCTCAGTGAACCGGAACAAGGGCTGGTCTTGGAATCAGTCGTTAGCCTTGGCTCTGAAGCCCTCTAACTGATGGGCCTTGGGCACAACCATTCATTTACTGGGTCTATACAAAAGGGATATTAATGTTGGTGTTACCTAATTCTCAGATGGTTAAGAGGAAGTTCCCTTCCCACTTTCCAACTCTCTTTCCACATTAGCCCAGCTTCCCTCACACACAGAATTAACTCACTGTCATCACTCTCCTGCTTTAAGACATTCCGTGGTTCCCTATGCCCATGCTTCTGTGCCTGGCATTCGAGGCTCTGTGATCTAGAAAGTGACCAGCCTTATCTCAATACGTGTTTGTAGGCTCTGGAGAAGTTCCTACCCTGCCTGTCTGCCAAGGTTCCTGGCTCACATCTGCCTCTGCCTTCGGGCTCAAATGCTCCCTAGGATGATGCCAGAATCACCAGACCTGGTGCCATGGACTTTGGCACTATTTTTTGCTTGAGGGAGGGGAAGTCCAGGACTGAGTCCATAAAGGTGTAGACACAGCTGGCGGCAGCAGACAGGATGACCAAAGAGTGGGTGAGAAACGGAGAAAGACTTCAGACTTAGAGGCTGAGAAGCCCACAATCTAGGAGCAGAGGCCTTCCTTTTCATAGATGGAGAAACTGAGGCCCAGATGGGGGAGATGTCCTGCCTTCCCTGATCTTTCCCCCACGGTGGGAATGGAGCCATTGGAAAGGGGAGCGGGGGAGTGGGGAAAGTTAAACTGAGTTATGCTTTCCTGGGGGGAAGATGCAAGGAGGTCTCTGGTCCTGCCCCTGCCTCTCCCCCTCCATTCAGCATCCCTCCTGGGGCTGTGGTGCTGTCTTCTCAACCCAGGCCTCCAGACCCCAGCGTCCTTGGCACCATCCCCTGGGCCACAGTCAGAAACAAATCCGCCTTTAGCCCTTTGCCGGCCGTGGGGTCTTTCTATCTGCACTGCTACTGAGCCCTGCCCTCCTAGGAAGGGGCTCCATGCGCAGAACAAACAGAGAAGCGTTTATTAGGCACTTACTACACCCTAAGGGGTGGAGGTCCAAAGAGGAAGCAGGCTGGCTCCTCTCAAGTGAGGGAGACGATAGGGAGAAGAGGGTTTGCCCAGAGGGCTAGGACTCTCTATCCCTCAGCTGGGCGCCAAGGGCTTGAAACACACATGCACTCATTCCTTTGTCCTCTCACTCTCCGGTATCCCGAGAACCCCACTGACCCTCCCACCAGCTCCCTGCTCCCATGTCCCATTTCTGCTGGCCGGACCTCCAGGCTAGAAAACTGGTAGTCCAGGAGCAGCTAGGGGGCTCAGTGGAGAGCGCACACTTGCCCTGGAGGCAGGAGGACCTGATCAGCAACCAGGTCTTACAGCTTCTGGCACCAGTCCTGTCCCTCTACATAGGGGACTGACCCTAGTCAGGCCCTCATGGGGTCACACCTGGCTTAACATTCAGCAAGCATTTATTAAGCACCTACTGTGTGCCAGCTAGGCACCGGGGATACACAGACCAGAAAAGTCATTCCTGCCTGCTGCCCTTGAGGTGCTGACGTTGCACGGGGGAGGTCACCAGCCCCCTAGAAATACTGCAGCAGGGTGGATGTGTCCCTTGCTGCTCAATTAATTTCAATGACTCCCTACTATCTCTAGCATCAAATACAGATTGACATTTAAGGGCTGGCACAGCCTGGCTCCAGAGACCCGTCCAGGTGACTGACTGTGTGGCAGCCGCTCACAAGCACTCGATTACAGCCGAAAAGCTGTTGGCCATTTCTCATGCCTGACATGGACCTGGCCCCTTTCCTGATTTTCTTGGAAGCTCCGTTTGAACCACATGAGCAGGAGGGTTGGGCCTGGAATCAGGAGGACCTGAATTCAAATCCAGCCTCAGACAATTCCTAGCTGTGTGACCCTGGGCAAGTCACTTGACCCTGTCTGCCTCAGTTTCCTCCTCTGTAAAATGAGCTGGAGAAGGAAATGCAAAGCACTGCAATATCTGCGACGAATCAGATATAACTGAACAACAACAGCATTTACCTATGTTGGCCACACTTCCCTCTAGGAAACTGCAAACTCCTTCAGAATGGGGATTAATCTTTTTAAATCTCTCTCTTCGGGGCCTCTCCCTCAGAACATATTCCATAAATGTTCAGTGGATTGGACATACACATACATACAGATACGCACACATGCAGGCAGAGTGTTTTGGATTTCAGGACAGGGAAGATGAGGACTCACCAGGCCCAGCCTTCGGTCTCGGTTCAACATTACACCTAAAGGGTCCAGAACAAAGATGACCACCTTAGTGGGAAGAGCAGAGGATGTCCGTTCCGTTTTTCTTTTTGGAGAGCAATTAGGATTAAGTGACTTGCCCAGGGTCACACAGCTAAGTAAGTGTCAAGTATCTGGTCTGAGACTGGATTTGAACTCAGGTCCTCCTGACTCCAGGGCCAGTGCTCCACTAGATGTCCATTCTTTAATGGTTCTGAAAGACTCCAGGCCTTTTTGTAGCGCTTTTTGGACATTATTAGCTCATGTGAGTCTAACGGCTTCTTCAGACCCCTCCTCCCTGGTGTGACTCCCCGGGAGGGAGGACTTCTAGATTCTCCTACTGGAGGCCCTCTGGGTGTCCCAAAGGGCAACTGGTACAGCCTCCAGATCAGCCCATAAACTCCATTTTACAGAGGAGGAAAGTGAGGCAGGGAAAGGACTTGGCTGAGGTCACACAGCTGGGAAGCAGCTGAGATGAACAAGTCATTTGCTCAGATGCCCCTTCATTCCCCTCTTCACTCCACAAGCATCTAGGGGTAGAGGGGGACCTGAATGTGGCCATTCCCTTTTTGGAGCAATTTTGGATTCCACAGATCCCCCTCCCCCACTCTGTGCCCAGGTTGTGGCCACCAAGGGGGCTCTCTAACCTTCTGCCACCTTGGTGGTTCCTCTCTCCAGCAAGAGCTTCCCACACTCTTCGCCCACTTTAAAATTGTTCTTTAGAAAGCTGGGGAAGGCACAGGGGGCAGTGGGGAAATGGGGCAAAAGGGGAAAGGCATTGTATCATTAACACATTAAGAGGAGAGCAGGCATTTCTGTGAAAGAAGAAAACAAACACTATGGGACCAGCGATGAAGAAAACTGATGCTGTGATCCTAGTTACAGAGGAGGGGTGACCTCCCTCAGTGGAGGGCCTTTCTGCCCCGGGAGTGACCGGCAGGTGAAATTACAGCTCTGGCTTCCCACCTGCTCCCCACATATACACAGTGTGTGGGTGGGGGTGACAGTGCATGTATGTATATGTGTGATTGTGTGTGTGTGTGTCCCACAGGTGGGGAAACAGTGGTTGGCACAAAGTGCTGAATGATTAATTGATTGACTTGTGGGTATTTGGGGCAAGACCTAAAGATCCAGAGGGATGGGGAAAGAACAAGTCCTGCTCAAGCCAGAGAGAGTGTCTTCGTGCCCCAGGCTCGGGGCAGTGAGGGTGGGACGGTTTAGGACACTGGCTTCTAGAGAAAGCCTGAAGGGAAGTCTCCCTATACCCCCTAGCCCCTGTTCCCCCCAAGCACTCTGCAGCTTTAAGGGCCGCCAGGGTTTCGGCTGCTCAGCCCCAGGACCCCGCCTCCTGCCCCCAGCCCCAGGACACCCCTCCCCTCCCCGCTCAGCCCCAGGACCCCGCCTCCCGCCCTACCTCTGCAGCATGTCCTCGGGGCTGACAACGTTGCGGGGCTTCTGCTGCTTGGCTTCTACTTGCAGCACGTGCTCAATGCGTCGTCTTCTGTAAACCAGCAGGTTGTTCATCTCCTGGAGGGCGGAGATGGGTGCGGGCTGGTGTGAGGGCCCGGATCCTACTGAAGCCTTCCTGGCTCGTGGCCAGCACGGTACCAGGCAACACCACCAGCACCCGCCCTCCAAAGGCTTCTGTTCCATTACGCCAGGGGCCTCGCCCTCTCTCCACTCTCAAGAGCAGACGTGGTCTGGGAGGAGCAGAGAGCTGGCCATCGAGTCCAACTGGCCTCCTGGCACGTGGTGACCCGGCCGGTCTTCTGGAGGAGGGGACTGAGCTTCCTGCCCGGAGCCCCGGCCTGACCCTGGCTCCTGCCTCTGAAGTCCACCGTTGCTTCCGCGGGGCCCCCCACGCGCCTTCTGCACCAGCTCCCACACCCCACCGAGATTCCTCCCCTGCACACCCCCTCGACCCTTCCCGGGGTTTGGAGGGCGCCGGCTCTCCCATCATTGCTCTGGCGCAGGGAGACAATCCCTTTGGCCCATAACTGAGTCCCTTCCAGCTGAGATGGCCCATCAGAGACCCCCCAAGCGTAGCAGCCTCAAGCAACAGAGCCATGGGCAGGGGTAGGCGGGACTGAAGGGCGAAGGCCACACCTGCCGGTATCGGAAATGCTGCCAGGAGGGAGGAGGCGGGTTGTCCTTCCAGAGAGAAACCCGAGGAGTGCCCCCTGCCAGCCAGGATACAGTCCCTCTGAGAGGCACATTCCCTTTTGCTGCCCTTCCTCCCCACCCCCACTAAGCAGGCATTCCTCAGATGCCAGGCTGTGTCTGCAAGAGTGATAAGGACACCAGCACCCTGCCACCCCCCCCCCCCGCCTGCTGTGACAATCCAACCTTGGTCCCTCGCAGGGACACGGCAGCTATGGTACACATTCTGGCCAGCCTGGATCCCAGTGACAGACTTGAGACTCAGGGCATATGGGCTGACAGACCTCCCTCAGCCCCTTCCCCTCTCTGGGGCTCAGCTCCCTTCTCTGGCTTCCACAGAGCCCTGCCAGCTCTCAGTTCTTCCAGAGTGGTGGCCACCTCCCCACCCCACCCCCCAAGGAAAAAGAGGCCATCTCAGAGAGGCAGTGAGGTCCGTGAGCAGGGCAGAACACTGCAAGGGTGTGGCCAGGACTAAGTTATCTCATCTTTGAAGTGGGAACAATAATCATAACTGATCTCACCTGACCAGAAGAATCAGATTTGTCAAGGCTGGGCAAACCTGTGAAAAGTCACTGCTTTTCCTTGGCCTCCGCCCCCCCCCCCCCCCCCCCGCCCCCGCCGCCACACCATTGGGGGTGGGCTGCAGGGTCTACTGCTACAGCTACAGTGATGGAGGAGGGGTCCCTGGAGCAGGGTCAGATCCTATGGGGCAGGGTACAGTGGGAATAGAAAGCCGCCCCCCTGGCTGGGGGCTGGGGTCCTCCTGGTCACTCCCCCCCCTTCCCAGTCTCCATCAAAGGCCTCACCGGAGCGTCCAGAAAGAAAGGGGAGGAGTCCAGCAAGATCAGTTTATCCACCATCTCAGGGAAGATGTAGGAGAACTGGGGAGGAGAAGGAGGAAGAGAAGAGAAAGACCAGGACAGGAGGCTTCTCTCCATCTGGCACCCACGGCCACGGGGAAGGAAACTCCATGTATCTGCCCACCCTCTTAAGCCCACCATTCCCAAGCCTTCCGTCTGTGAGCCATCTTCCCTGATTAGATTGGAGGCTCCATGAGGGCAGGGACTTTTATTTTCATACATTGGTATTTCTGGGTCTTAGCACAGCACCTGGCATGCAGCAGGTGCTTAATAAATGTTTAGTGATTGACTGGGGCTCCAGAAGGTTCAGTGAGTGCTGGGGCAAGCCCTTCCAGGCTGCCCAGGCTTTGAGTACTAACTCTGGGCATGGGCTTCTGGGTCTGTCTCCCTAAGAGATGGTCACCTGCCTCAGTGGGTTCAAGTCCCAGGATGGGGCCCCTTCCCTGAAGCCTCTGAAATGGAGATGATACTGCCCCCCTCCCGGGAAGGTGGTGGGGACTGGAGATGATAGGCAGTGCAGCCTGGGAGCCAGGCACCGGCCCCGCTCTGCCAGAGGGTGACTGCAAACAAGGCCCTCCCTTGCTCTGAGGCTCCTGACTTCCTTGGCTTTGGTGGAGAAGGGGCTGAAGGTCTTTACTATTTTTAGACAGCCAATGGGGGGAAGGGGAGGCAGCTGCTTGTGACACCTCCCCTCCCAAGGGGGTCCCTGCTGTCACAGGCCGGCTGGTCCCCAGGGTCCCCTCTGGCTCGGCCGCCTGGCCCCCACCCTAGAGCTGGTGATGGCCCAGGCTTCTGGCACTGCTTCCCAGCGGCCGCCCCTCATCCTCTCCTACTCAGAGCCCAGCTGGGCTGGGGCAGGGACAGGGACTCACCATGCTGCCAACAGTGCCGCCTGTAGACAGAAAAGGAAAGGCAGTGGTTGCCCCCTCCCCAGCCTGCCTCTCCCTCCCAGGGCCCCAGGACATATGTCCTGCCCCCCTGGCACCCAGGCCCACACTCTGCCAGGTCTAGGAAGGTGGGGACTGTTGTGTCCTCACCGGCCCTGGGCATCCCCCCATCGGCCCAGGAGCTCTCCAGAGACACGGAGGGGGATTGCTATTCCCCAGCACCATATCTACGCCCTGAGACTGGAGGTCCTGGGACTTCATTTTCCTGGCCAGAGCTCTGCCGAGCGGACTGGCAGCTAGATGCCGCCTGTCTGCCCTGCCAAGGTCACCGAGCCACGGGCTGCAAGGGCAGAGCCCAGCTGTCCCCCAGAGTCCCCTTCTGTTTCTCCCCCACTCTGCCATATGGGGCCTGGCTCCGTGGCCGCTTTACTCACCAAAACTGTGGCCCAGGAGGGAAAAGCGCTTCCATTTCAGGGCTGGAAACACACACACACACACACACACACACGTCAGTGTCGCCTCCCGGCCAGCCCCCCCCAAATCCCCCACAGAGGTGACAGGTCTCCGCTGCTCGGCAAAGGGAGGCACTATTTAGGTTCAAGAGACCCTCACTCCGAGGGCCAGTAAACCCCTCTCCAGCTCAAGAGAGGGACAGCTAGGGAGCTTTCACGGGTTCACCACGACAGGGATCTCAGACGTGGATGGTCCTGCTGCCTCCTGTTGCCATAGAGGGATGGAGGCCCAGAGAGGGAGGGGTCTCCTGGCCCCCCACAACCATGCTGTACCCTTGCTTTAACAGCTTTGATGGATGATTTTGCGCTGCATGCCAGGGGCTTCTCCCGCCCCCCAGGCTGTTTGTCTTGGGGGTGGGGGGAGGGTGGGGTTTCCCAAAGCAGCATCCTCGCCCCCACTCCCACTCTCCCTTTGGTCTACCTGCCGCCACTCGGAGCACCTCATTCACATAGTCCTGCTGGTGGTATGGGAAGCCGGGGTGATGGTGGGAGGAGAGGCCGTGACCCCCAAAATCCATGGCGACGTAATAGAAGGCTGCAGGAGAGGGAGACGGTCAGCCCTCAGCGCCTGTTCCTCCTCTCCAGCTGCCCCACCTCCCTGCCCTGGCAACCCCCAGCAGCCCAGCCCCACTTTGAGGGAGAAGTGGGATGAGCCGGTCAAAGGAGTTGGCATTATCTAGCCATCCGTGGAGGCAGAGCACAGGGGGCCCCTGCAGGGAGCCCCAGGCCTTGGCAGCGATGTGGCCCCAGGGCACAGAAAGCTTCAGCTCTGAGAACAGATCTGAAAAACAGGGGAGAGGTGAGGCGCTTTTGAGGACCTGAGGGTCACAGTGGACAGGGCTCAGGGCCTAGAGGCAGGAAGACCTGAGTTCAAGTACACCTCAGACACTTCCAGCTGCGCGACCCTGGCAAGTCTCTGTTTGCCTCAGTTTCCTCATCTGTAAAATGGGGATAATAACAGCAATTATTTTGCAGGGTTCTTTGTGAGGATCAAACGATTTACTATTTGCAAAGGGCTTGACACAGTGCCCAGCACCTAGTAGGTGTTTATTTTTTTGTTTTGTTTTTTAATTAATTTATTTTTAGTAGGTGTTTAATATACATTTCTGTTTGTTTTTTGTTTTTTGGTAAGGCAACTGGGGTTAAGTGACTTGCCCAGGGTCACCCAGCTAGTAAGTGTCAAGTGTTTGGTCTGAGACCGAGTTTGAACTCAGGTCCTTCTGACTCCAGGGCCAGAGCTCTACCTACTGTGCCACCTCGCTGCCCCGTAGGTGTTTAATAAATGCTTATTCCCTTCCCCCATCTCCTAGCCCCTTCCCTTTCAAGGAGTGCAGAGGCCCCTGCGCACAACCCGTCTTGGGGGAGGAAGCTGGATGACGACAGTCACCCCCACATTCCACGCCTCCTGTCATGTTTCCACTGACTCCTCTTCAGACCATCTTAACCCACCTGCATGGTCAGAAGGCCCCAGATGGTTCCTCCCACTGGTTCTCATTCTTGTTTACAACATGACTAACAGGAAAATACGTTTAATAGGCATGTACATGTAGAGCCTCTATCAGACAGAGCCTCTATGGAACTGTATGCCGCCTTGGGGTGGGGGGGAGGGGAGATAATTTGAACTCAAAACCTTATGGAAGTGAATGTTGAAAGCTAAAAATAAATTACTTAATTTTACTTAATTAATTATACTTAAATCACTTAATTACAAGGTCACAGTCACCATACTCTGTAATCCAGTGACACTCGCCTCCTTGTCCTTTCTCCATTTCCAGTCTCCAGGTGTTTCCCCTAGCTGTGCCCCCTGCCTGGAATGCCCTCCCTCCTGTCCCCGCTCGCCGGCCCCTCCCCCCCTCCCCTCCGCTCCTAGCACTGAGAACCAAGCCCTTCCCGGCTCCCGTCAGCGCGGCAGAGTGGAGCCAAGGGACGGGTCTGCTCCTCGCCAGCTGCGTGACCTTGAGCATGGAGGTGCAATGGGTAGAGCGGTGGACCTAGGGTCGGGTCAGGAAGACCCGAGTACCGGGGGGGGGGGGCTCCGACACTACCTGTGTGACACCTCGCCTCCGCCTGTCTCAGTGTCCTCATCTGTAAAATGGGGATAATCACAGCACCTCCCTCTCCGGGCTTAGCGCAGTGCCTGGCACCCGGTAGGAGCTTCCAAAGGCTCGTTCCCCTTCCCTTCCTCCTCTCTGAGCCTCAGTTTCCCGGTCTGCGAAGAGGAGTGGGGCACGCCGGTGTCGGCTGTCCCGGCAGGCTGCAGATCGGATGCTGCTGCTACCGACTGTCCCCAGCCCTCCCGTGCAGCCCCAGACCCTTCCCTGCAACCGGCGCTCACCCATGTGGCCGGCCTCGGCAGACCGCTCCTGTGCGCACTCGCTGTCCGGCCAGAGACCGATGTGAGCGCAGAGAACCCGAAGTAAGCCGCGAAGGCTCGGGTTCCGGGAGCCTGCAGGCTGCGGTCGCAGCTCCGCCCCTCCACAAAGTCCCACTCCAGCGCTGATCTCCTCCCCCCAAGCCCCGCCCCGCCCTGGCCAGCCTCCAGCCCTTCCCCTTTCTGGGGCTCGGGCCAAAGGGGCGTCTCCCGCCTTTCCCATCCCCGGCATCAGACAGGCCCTGGGCACTCTCGCTGGCCCGTCGTCCTGGACAGCGCCCCCAGCGGGGGCTGGGTCTGCTGGGTCTTCTTCTGGGCATCCTCCCGGAGCGCCTGGGCACCAGGGCAGTGGGGAGACCGAGGGTTGTGCCCCGGGCCTGGCAGGACTGGCAGTGCCCCGAGAACCCAGAGGGGTCTGACCAAAGTTTACCCAGGAGGAAGCTGAGGCCCTCGATTACTGTCACTGATCTGGACAGAGCCCAAAGCCCCTCCTTGGTTCTGGATTACTGCCACTGATCTGCCCTCTCTGCAGTAGAGTTTGAATGCCTGGCAGTTCAGCTCAAGAAAGGACCTCACCGCCTAGTACCTTACCTTGCCGGGTTCAGCAATTCAGTTTCCCGGCACGGTGCTGGTAGACTGACCAGGTTTCACAGGCATAAAGCAATGAGGTCAGCACAAGGGCTCTGCAGACCTTCAGTTTGGGAGGCAGTCTAATACCTCTTCTCTCCCACACCTTTCTTCAGAGCCTCCCAAACACTGAGCTAGCTCCGGCAATGCGTGTGTCCACCTGGTCATCTATGTGCGCATCCCTGGAAAGTATACTGCCAAGGTAAGTGAACTTATCCGCAGCATTCAATATTTCTCCATTTGCTATAAGCAATGGTTCCACATGTGGATGGCGTGGTGCTGGCTGGTTGAGAACCTTTGTTTTCTCGATGTTAGTTGTTAGGTCAAAATTAGCACAAGCTCAGAGAATCGATCCATACTTTCTTGCGTCTCAGCTTCAGAGGCTGCGTTGAGTGCACAATCATCTACAAACAAAAAGTTGAATACCAACTCTCCCTCCACTTTAGTCTTGGCTTGCAGCCTTTTAAAGTTCAATAATTCACCATCTGGTGGTAGCTGAGCTCCATGCTGTTTTCGTCCTCGTTGAAGGCTTCTGACCACATTGCTGACAACACCATGCTAAAAAGCCTGGGAGCAAGCACACGCCTCTGCTTCACTCCATTGGTGACTGGGAAAGCCCAAGGGCATTGTCCATTATCCCAAACCCGGGCAAGTGTGCCTTCATGAAACTGATGTACAGTACTGATGATCCTGTCCGGGCAACCGCATGTGGTCCTAATTTCCCACAAGCCCTCATGACTGACAGCATCAGAGACGTTGGTCAGATCAGCAAACACTGTGTCCAGACGTCTGCTCTGCTCCTGGCATTCCTTCTTTTTTGGCAGCAAACACCACAGGGATTGTTCCGTGGCTCTTTCTGGAGCCACACTGTTTCTCGGGGAGATGAACATCTTTCAGGTGAAGGATCAGCCTGTGAAGGAGGACTCTGGCAAGAATCTTTGCAGCAAAGCCTAAGGGATGGATCCTACCAGGATTGTCACAGGACAATCTATTTCCTTTATCTTTACAGAGATGGACAATGGAGGCTTCCTTGAACTCCGGGGGGACAACCTCCTCTTGCCGAGTAATCTGGAACATTTCAGTCAGCTTTTGCATGAGCAATGAACCGCCACCCCCACCTTGAAAATCTCAGCACCAGGTGCTTTGCCACAGGAGAGGAACCTAATGGCTTTCAAAACCTCGTCTTCAGCTGAAACACTAGCTGTGGTCAGAGAGCTGAGAGGCACTGTGGAAAATCCAGCCCTCGCCCCAGCAGGCACAAGCCTAAGGGGGCGACTCAAATGGTCCCCGGGCTTGAGGGGGATACGAATGAAAGGCAGGGAGAGTTCTGCCTGGGGAGGTTGGGGTGCCTGAGCAAAGAGGACCACTCCTTGGAGAATGTAAGAATTCTTGGTCACATATCAGGAGATAGATAAGTGGTCCCTTCCAACTCTGAGAGTCTGTTAATAGTCATACGAATTTTTACATTTTTCCTTTCACCAATATATTTGAATTGTATATTTACTAATAATGTCAATACACTTGAAGAAAAAGGTAAATGAAGTGAGGAACGGAGTCCCAAACAGACTCTAGTCTAGGGCCTTTTAAGTACCCACAGCCTGAGCAGGGTGCCTATTTTGTTCTGGCCCCGGGACTTTTGGGGATTTAGGGAAGGCCCTAAAGGCGTCCTTGTGCTTTTGTGAACTTTCCTTGTTCTTAGTCTGGGGTTTTTTCTACCACATTTTCCTTTCTCTTTTCCCAGAGGGCAGCTGAGGGTGGACTTGAGTCACTGCCAGGCTTTGAGTTTGTCAAGAGAAGTCACGTCAATCATTTACTGCCTTCTGAGGGAGTGGCTCCTCCGCTCTGACTCTTCACCTGCCTGTAGGTGGTGGGGCCATGCTTGGCTATCCTGGCGAAGGGCCCGCTGCCTACTGTGACCACCACTGTGCCCCCAGCACAGGAAAAGACCACAGACTGTCCCAGCAGATTTTGTCCTCCCTGGAGCTGTCCACATACCTTGCGGGTCTGAACAAACCTCATCTGCCAGGTTTCCACCTGGTCTTTAATCCATTGCAGCAATCATTTATCAATTGCTTTAGCTAATTCGTACCATACTATGTGGGGGAAAAAGTTGGAGAAGGACATGGCAAACCACGCCAGTATCTTTGCCAAGAAAGCCCCAAATGGGGTCACGGAGAGGCGGACGTGACTCAACCGGTACCACAGACACCAGCCATCCATTCAACAAATATTTGTAGAGCCCCCACCATGAGACCGAGAAAGCAAAACAGCCCGGCCCTCAAGAGGCTCATGTGGATTGGGGTGGAGTCTACACCCTGGCCCCATCCCCATTGCCTCTCCTGGTCACTGGCAGGAAAGCCCTGGCCTCAGGCTACCCTCTCAGCATCTGCCTCCAGGCCTGGACCCGCCCTGAAAAAAGCTCTGCCTCTGTTCCTGGCTGCAGTATGTGGAAACTTCCCCTCCTTCAGAAATATTCAGACAGCATCTTTTCCTGAGCATCACATGAAGCCTCTGGACTCGAAGAAAGCAGCCGGCTCAGTCCTGAGCCTGCCTGAGTCCAAGCCCGGCACTCTAACCACTGGGCCGCCTGGCTGCCTCTGCATCTGCGCACACACACGAATAAAACATCTAAGAGATCTGACAGACACAGCTAGGGGGCCAGAGTTCGGTTCCTGGAGCAAATGTGCCTGACGGGCGGCTTCCTGCCCAGGTCCCCCCATCAGCACGACTAATTTTCCTTCACTAGAGAGGTCTGGAGGTGGTCAGGAGTCTGCTCATCTGCTGCCCTCTGCTGCCGCCACCTGGACCATCTCTGCCACAGCCACCCTAAGATGCCATTCCACCCCCTTCCATCTCCGGACCCTTTGGGAGCCAGCTCTGGCTGAGGCTTTCCTGGAGCAGCAAACACCCCAAAGTTTGCCCAAAGGGTGAAGGAGAGCCACGGCCACAGGCTGAGGAGGCTGCATTGCATCACCCTGAAGAACAGTGCTGGGCAGACTGCAGAAAGGGGGTCAGAAGAGGGGGCCAGCCTGGGAGCACCCCGTACCCACAGAAGCCTCTGCCTGGGGGTCCCCATCCAGGCTCTGCGGAGCATGGGGCCTGAGTCACACAGGCAGGCTGAGCAGCAGAGAAGCCCTCCGGACCCATCAAAGAAGGGTCTTGAGGCACTGCCTCCATAGTGGCCATAGAATGACCAGGGCATTCCTGCACCCCACTCTGGCCTCGGCCCCAGCCAGAGCCCTATTACAAAACAATCATGTTGGAAGCCCAGCCCAGACAGTCTTCTGAACAAACAAGAAAACTCCCCACTTCTGGACGTGTTCCTTCCCTGCTTTCCTGCCTTCATGCCTTTGCTTGTGCTGTTTCCTGCACCTGGAGGGCCCTCCTCTCCGTTCTCCCTGCTGAAATGCTGTCCGTCCTTTGGGGCCCAGCGCCGCCTCCTCCATGGTGCCATCCCTGATTTCTCCACAATAGTTTTCCCTTCCTGGGACCTCGCATGGCTTTTGTTGACCCCTTTCTTGCATACTGCTCTAGGTTGGTATCATTGGCTGGCAAACTCCAAGGAGGAAGGGTCTGGGTCTCATTTAATGTCTGTAGCTCCCCCACCCCTCCAGTGCCTCTGCACAGAATAGGTGCATCCTAAGTATTTGCTGAACTGACTTGAATGCCAAGGTCTCCAGAGTGCATCCAGGGCACCCCAAATGGATGCCAGGGAGCTCCCCGGGCAGCTCTGTCAGTGGTGGGCTCATCCTTCCCTCCAGGGCCTCCTGAGGCCAGGCACGGGGAAAGGCTTGCTGCTGCTTCAAGACGCCCTAGCTGGCCCTAAACCTCAGGCCCTCCAAGAAGGGGAAGTGGTTTCCTCGAGGAAACAAGTGGGACCTCGCAAAGAGCAGACAAGGCTCTGCAAAATACCCAGAAACGGAGGACCCTGGGGTGGGGGATTTCCACCTCTCGGTGCAGTGTCTAGCATCTTTTCTGAGTAGGGGTCAGGAATTCTGCTTTGGCAGCTAGGAAGAAGTCCTGTGGGTCTTAGGACCTTGAAAGGGGATATCAGCCTTGTCTCCTGTCAGTCCCTGCCACCCATGAAAGGCAGGCAGAAGAATCTTCTTAAAAGGTCATTTTCACCATCAACCATCAATCTATCAAATAATTAAGCACCAGCTGTGGGACAGGCACTGTCCCGGGACAAACATTAAACAGTCCATACCCTCTAGGGCCCACATTCTACTGGGGGAGTCATGCATACATCAGTATACACATACAGAGTAAATGCAAGGAAATTTGGGGTAAAGGGGGGCCCTAGCCGCTCGGGAAAGTCAAGAAAGACTCCATTATGAGCTGAGCTGTGATGGGAGCTCGGGATTGGAAGAGGTACTAGCAAGAAAGGAGGCATTACAGGTATGAGGGACCGCTAGGGCTGGAATGTCCTGTGTGAGAAGCACTTAGAGCACCAGTCTGGCTGGATCGGCAGGACTAACGTGTAACAAGGCTGTAG